CCCCGAGCAAAGCTCGGTCCCCAGGTACTCATATTTTAAATAGCCAAATTCCTTTAAGAAACCCAATCTTTGACCAAATTTTAAAATTAAATACCGTAATCAGTAACAAAAATGTTTTTCCAAATCCTGTCTAGTTCTATAAATCATCTGTATGTAAAAATTATATTTATTTACAAACAAACAATACAAACAACAGTTAAGTGTTTAATGTATTTTGAAGTTTGAAAATGGACTAATGTCCGAAACATGTCCCTTCTTTTTATAAAATATAATATTCAGGGTGCTCAGTTGTACTTATTTACTTAAATATTTAATAAGTCTATATATATATATATATATATATATATATATATATATATATATATATATATATATATATATACATATATAAAAATTTGAACGAATGGTGTTTTTGGCCTCTGGGGACATCAAAATGAACCTGAACCCGGGAGCGATTTACTTTTTCGTTTTGAGGTCCCTAGAGTCCAAAAATACCATCCATTCAAATTCATATATACATTTATGTATATATACAGGGTGATCAACTCAAGGAGGCCACCATTGGGATATCGGAAACGGTAAGAATTAGAGAAAACTTTAAATGGGGGACATTCCTTTATTTTTTGTGGCAGTTAAAAAAATGATTTAATTTTTTCAAAATTCAGCCACCATTTTCCAAAATGGCGGCCAACTTTGAGATTTCTTATGGAACACCCTGTATTTTATCATGTTTTCGGATAGATCATGCAATTTAAAAACTTTTTTATTCTTGACATTTTTTTGATAAACCCACTCGTTTAGGAGTTACAGCCTATGGAAAAATGACTTCCGGTGTACATTTTACATCATGTAGCTCCAAAAAAAGTAGGTTTTTAGGGAAAATGCGAAGAGAAAATAAGTCAAATAAGTCTTAAAAATGCATCCACATTCCAAAAAGTCCATAAAATTCGTTAAAATATTAATTCTATTATTTAAAAATGGCGGCCATTTTCCAAAATGGCGGCAAACTTGAAAAGTGGAAAAATGTGTATTTTATGGTCTTAATAGAATGTGGATGCAATTTTAAGACTTATTTGACTTATTTACTCTTCGCATTTTCGCTATAAACCTACTTTTTTGGAGCTACATGATGTAAAATGTACACCGGAAGTCATTTTTCCATAGGCTGTAACTCCTAAACGAGTGGGTTTATCAAAAAAATGTCAAGAATGAAAAAGTTTTTAAATTGCATGATCTATCCGAAAACATGATAAAATACAGGGTGTTCCATAAGAAATTTCGAAGTTGGCCGCCATTTTGGAAAATGACGGCTGAATTTTGAAAAAATTAAATCATTTTTTTAACTGCCACAAAATATAAAGGAATGTCCCCCATTTAAAGTTTTCTCTTATTCTTACCGTTTCCGATATCCCAATGGTGGCCTCCTTGAGTTGATCACCCTGTATATATATATATGTCTGTTAGCACAATAACTCGAGCAAAAATAGTCCGATTTTGATGAAATTTGGTATAAACGTTTAAACCTACATTCATTCAAACGAGTTTGCGAACCATCATGATCGGACTATGGGAACGGGGGTTTATGGGGTGTTTTATGGGGTAAAAATTGGGTTTTCCCATTTTTGACCCAAAAAACAAATAGTTTAGTTTATTGAACCGTTGTTGTATGCCCAACGGTTATGGACATAATTCCAAAAAAATGTAAATTTAAAATGTCCATGTCATTCTTAAGGAGAATAAGTAAACTGTTGTAGTTTGCTTGTTTATAAACATATTTTGATCAATTTTGGAAAATGCATTTATTTCTTACTAAACTATTAACATTTAACAAAAAAAAAAACTTTTACCCTCCCTTTTGCAGCAAACCTAAGTACGGTACTTGTTAAATAAGTTCTATTTCAATAATGAATAAATGTGATATTTTTAAGGAGACATTTTAGTGTAAATACAATCAGGCAAATGGAAATTCACTTAGTCTGCAGGTTAGCTGCGGCGGAATTATTTTAAAAACTTTCCCTGACCTTATACTTGTTTCTCTGACTTTCGAGGTCTGTGGAAACCCTGAACTGATCTTGTTTTGCAGATCTTGTGCACTGACTCCCAACTGACCCTGTATTGGCCCAGATTCTAACTTTACGCTGTTTTTTCTAAATGGCTTTAAAGATCAACAAGGACTTCAGAAAACTCCCCGATAATACAGTACACATCTTTTAGATACTACCTCATATTTACCTTTTAATGCTTTAGTTGAGATTCAATTGAAAACTCCTGAAATCCACTTTAAATTCGTTATCAGCTAACTAAGATTAAGATTATAGAAGGCTACTATTTTTTTTTACAGAAACATATAAACCTTACAAATGTCCATCACTATCTGGGCTGGGTCAAATTCCTTCTGCTGGTCCTTTACATAGATAGACCGAAATAGTAGAAACGGCAAATTTTGGACAGCATGAACTTACGGGCTGCACTTACCATTTACTTACCTTGTCTATTGGGGACTTCCTTAAGTATACAGTAAATGCAACTGGAGGGTACTTGCAGCCAGCAACATCTCTCTACTTTTCCCATCTGTAAGCACGGCTGCCTTTAACGAAGGCCGCGGCCAGCAATAATTGGCAACGCCGCGCCAAGCATCTACTCCCGGCCTTTCACCATTACAGTAGTATGGAACTAGTGGTAGCGTTTTAAATATACAGTAGAACCTCTTTAATCCGAACCCCTGTAATCCGAACGTCCACTAATCCGAACCCCTCATTGCTGTACTTTATACACAGTACAGCAGTATCTTTATTGTATACTGTTTTAATTTACAGTACTGTTTATTCACCACGTTTACTACTGTATCAAATTTCACTTTAAAAAACATTTTTTCACTTTTCCCAAAATAATGTTGATCAATTTTAGCCATGATCTAGCTATTGTTATGTAAAAACAACAATGTTCTGTAATCCGAACTATTCAATAGTCCGAACTACCCCTGGTCCCAATTAGTTCGGATTAAAGAGGTTCTACTGTACTGCTTATTTTTACACCCTTACAAATTGAGATAAAATTTAGAAATTTAGTACAAAGTTCGGAAATAAACCCTTTATACCAATAGTACGGTTTTTGAAAATGAAAATTTTGTTTGATAGTTTTTTTTATATAAATATTTTTTAAATTAACACCACAAGAAACGAAAAAACTTTGGAACACACACACACACACAGAAAGGAAAAAAATTTGGAAAAGTAACGTGAAAAAGTTAGTCACCTACTAAAATAATTGCTGTTTGTTGGTCAGAGGAGTTTCATCTGTGAGAAAGTTGTAGATGATTAAATATACTTTACTGTTTGTAATTAACTGTTTTTCTATCATGCTTAGTTTTGTTAAGCTTTGGGGATGAACAGAGCGTCAAAATCTCAGTTTTATAGTGCGGCGTGTATCTGCCCGCAGCTGTAGTGTAGTATTGCATAGCTAATGTAGGCCTACTGAATTATTTCAAGTAGATTATGCATTTTGATTAGGTATCCTCAAGACTTATTACTTTTGTAGCAAATATTGCTTTTATATACATTCCCCCAACCAGTATAGACGTTCAGTTAAAACTATAAGCTTTACCTGTGTGTGATATATGTAGTTTCTTATATTTTCCCATAACAAGTAAAATTATTACAGCCAATTTGAAGACGGGTTAACTATTTACTACAATCCAACCAGTTTACACTTACACAGTGCACGCTGAACGACTTAAATTAAGTACCGTAGCCTAAATACAGAAATGTCTTTTCTATTTAGATTTTACAATTTTGCTATAGTTTATTATAAACTTAAAGTATGAATTTTGTTTAAACATAATTATTTTGTTTTATGAGAAATAAAAATATTATTTCGTTCATTTAATCATTCTGTCACTGCACCAGCATTCAAAATTAATTCTTGAAATATTCTTGCAACAGACAATCGGAAGGCGGAGCTAGCAGAACCACATAACTTAGTGCTCATCAACCAATGGGGGCGTGGTGACCACCATCTTGATTGAATTAGGCGGAATTAGCGAAGTAAAATAAGTGGCAACTTGTTTTTAGCGTTCAGTTGCTTTTGCAAATGCTAGTATCGGAAGAAAATAAAATGATTTTTTTAAATGTAGCTATCAGCTCATTGTCATCAAGCAGGTAAGTATGTTAGGAATTATGTCTGATATCAATTTGTCAGGAAAAGCTGAAATAGTTAGTTTTTTGTGGAGCAAACATGAAGGAAATAGTATGAACAATTATTTTGAGACTGAGCGATATTTTGTTAAATAACTAAACCAAGGTAAAAAATTACAAAAATTGTAGCCACTGTAACCCTAGGAAAATGTCAATCCTCTCTTGATAATAATAATATTATTTGTTTTTTTTGACAATTTTTATATTGTATGGTTAACGTCATTATTCTAATAATTGATTAAACAATAGCTTACGTAGAAATTTTAATTAAATAACAATGTAAATGGGATTTACATTTTAACAAATAATTAATACTAGAGTAAATACGTAGAAGAGACAGAAGAAAATTACAATTCTTAGTTTATAATACTAATACATATATTCAATGTACCATAAAAGGATTTAATAAATATATTCTTGTATTGACACAAATGCCTCATATTATTCTACCCTTCTTTTCCTACATAGGTGTTGTCAGATATAAAACATCAATATTAATAGATAATTTGCGTGCTTGCTCAAATCCTACGCGGTGCGAGCGTTCAGTGGTGTAATGTAGTAGTAGCCATCCCATGCAGTGTTGCCACTTCGAATGCCGCGGTCTTAGTTAAAGGCAGCCGTGCTCTAAGTGGCTTAAGTTAATCAATCGCAGAAATACATGGCAAAGTATATGGCGATAGAAAACCTCTTTCTTTTTAGTATCAATGGTCACTGTGATATCAAGAAAAGCGACTAAAGTCTTTAGAACAGTTGTAGAGAGGAACTCCAGATGGAGATTATGAATATATTAAACAAATGAAAACTCACCAAGGACTTGTTCAGCCAGAGAGAAGAGCTGAGGACTATAAGAGCGGCCGTCACGAGACACAGCAGCACAGAACATGTCACTGTCCTTGAGATGGATGTAAACTTTACAAATGTCCATCACTATCTGGGCTGGGTCAAACATGTACTCTTTCTGCTGGTCCTTCACCTGAATAAACCAAGTAGCTTGATTTTTTTTTTGAAAGGGATACAGTTAAGCTAGCTTACCTGTGCCCTATTTTACGTAAGTCATACTCTCCAAAGTTAGTCTTGCTCTATGACAATATCTCTAATAATAAGTTAAATAAGTTGTTTTTAAATATCTTTTCTTAGACTCTTTGTTTTCTAAAATTTTAAGTTTTGTAAGGGTACATTTTTGTTTGAGGTTAATTATTGTTCATTAAAGTCCGTAAATGGCACGGATGCGTAGGGTTTACAACAGCAACAATAACCGGCGAAACACAACATCAACAAGACCAGTCACAGCCTTAGTTCAAGACTCGGCCACTGAGGTTGTAAGGCGCTAGGGGGAATGTGGCTAGTAAGGGCAGATTCAGAAGTCTGTCGATTCAGGGCGGCAGATTTGAGCATAAGGCTCTCTCTACTGGAATGTGCAGTCAAGATTATTGCCAGAGGCATATGCATGCGATTATACAAGTAATCAAATATTGTGGTACCTATGTAAGTATTACTATACTGCCTGTGTTATTATAAGTTAAATACTATTATTTACTTAATATAATACTTCTTCAATATTGTAAAATTTGATCATTTTGAATGGCATTTGATAGAACTACCCTGTTTCTATTATTACTGTGGTGAGATTATTTTAACTAGAATCTGTTTGTACATAGTGTATTACTACTTACAGAAAACTTATTAAAGAAGCAAAAGTAAATTACAATAAAAAAATGTCTACAGCAACGAATAAGTAAAAAAAGGTGGAATGTAATAAATAAAAAAGTTAGTGTCAATAGAAAAAGCACAAGTAAAATTCTCTCGACCCTCAATCTTTAGATACCGTAACCATTTCTTAGACTCTGTAAACCATTTGATTAATAATTTATCAACATCTAACTAATCTCCTGAAGTCTATATTAATGTGTTGAGGTGTATGGTCACAATGGCAGATATTTCTTTTGAATTGAAACCATATTCTGTTGAACAGGTATGTGAGAAAATTAATAGGTTAAGGGTGTTTGGTCAAAAATTTGATCTCTGATTTTTTTATTGTTCAATTATACTAAAAATAAGAGATCAAAATTATATAAGAAATATTTTTTGTGTTGAATACTAAGGGAGATATGGAGCTTGAAAGTAGTAAATTTGTCATATTTTGGTACCAATTCTCAGGGGGAATGAGTAATGCAACCAGGGCCGGATTTAGCATTTTTTCGCCCCTAGGCCCAAATAATTTTCCGCCCCCTAGTCTGGTCACAGTTACTTTCCTGCAAACCTTTATTAAAAACTATATCATGCCTATAGGCCTAAGTTAATTGCTTAAATACCACTCCTCGTCAAAATCATTGCAAGTTTTTTTATTGACTTGTTTAGCCTTAACCAAATGCCGTCTTAAACACTGTTAGCAATTTTATGCTTTTAATAAATGCTCACATTAGTGGCCGTGGGACTGACTGAAACAAAACAACTCAAACCACCGAAAATTCCTGAAAAAAAAAAAAAACATGGCCATTGATTCCAATTCCAGGCCCAAAAACCTGAACTCCATACAGTACGTGATACCATAGATTAAACATAGGCTACTCCTTTAGTAGATTTGTCATAATTTTGGATTAGCTGAAAACAATTCTTGTTATTTAAGAAGTACGTTTTATCTATGTTTAAACCTAGTTTATCCAAAATAAAACGATCTAATCATCAACAATAGGTCGTCTCCTGTTTATATTACAAGAAATTAAAACACACATCATAGAACTAACCCTAAAATAATAGAAACAAAATAACGTTAAAACTAACGTCCAGTATCACCAACATGAACTAGACATGACAAATTTTGAATTAACAATGTCATGAGATGTCGACTTGAGCTATATTTTATCTATGGTCATACTGCATCTAGCTTATATTTCCAAAGCAAAACAGAGCAATACTCCTGCCAACCATACCGATCCTTAGGTCTGAGGAGAAAATGACAGCATCAATGGTGCTTTGGAGGGTATTGAATGTTTCTAAAATTAATGCAAACTGAGATTGATATTTTTTCGTTAAATTTAAACGTAAATTAATCGTTGTTTTAATATTCAACACAACGTATTATATATTTTAACTTGATCCTGCAGATTGTTGTAAACTAATCAAAAGATTAGTTGATAACTTTTGTTTTGTAAAGTGAGGGTGGTAACAATGTCTAGCACCCTTCCGCCCCTAATCGCTATGATCAGTAGTGCCGAGCCCGAGCCTGAACCAGCCAACGAGCCAGCATAGTGGCCCAGTGCAGTGGCAATACGATGCGTACCCCTTGGGCGCTCGTCAACGTCAACATCCCTACAGCCTACTCCCGTATAACCAATATTTTGTAACGAATTGTAGCAATTTTGTAACGAAATTAATGCGTAATTCTTAATAATATTTTAAATTTCATAACAATAATTTCTTCTTATGAACTTCAGAAGTTTTTTTTATCAACTATGACTATTTATTTTTATTTTTAGATAGCCTATAAAAAAATTCCTCTTGGCCGTGCGCCCTCTGGGACCTTGCGCCCATAGGCCCGGGCCTACCGGGCCTATTGGGAAATCCGGCCCTGAATGCAACTCTCACTAAAATTGGCATTCAGGTGTGAAAAATAAGATAATAATCATTAGCTATTTACTATGTTTTCGTTATGATTAATCTTTGCCAGGATACTAATAGTATATTTTATAAGGACAATGCATTCTACAACATATGTGGTTTTGTGAGCTAGAATGTGAGGAATGTACGGTACAAATCTATTGGTTGATGACGAACACAACTTAAGCCCCTAAACACATTTTACAGATCATGTAAATAGGGGTAAACTTGTCAGAGCCTCGTCAGATGTGTTCAAGATTATAATTTTTTTTAACCAGTTCAAAAATGTTACTCCAACCAACGGGGCTAAAATGAATGTGTATAATATATGTGCTTTGGCATCAATTTGCTGGCAATGTATTCCGAGGCCACAGACCAAACGGAGATCTTAGTGAAGACAATCATGATCTTATTATAATCATTAAAATGATAAGCATGTTGTTTTCAAATGTATATTGTCATAAGGTGTCAAAAAGAAAAAAACCTTAAAAAGTAATGTTTCAAACCTCGGCATTCGGCAGAAACTAAATAAACTTATTTTGTTTAGCCACGTCTAGTGAAATATTGAAAACCTATCAAATGTAAGATTGTTGTCTAGTAAATGATTGTTTTTGTAAAAGTTGTTTTCTTGGTTAGATTTTATTATAGTTTTATTAGAACTACAAAAGTTAAGTTTTATTTCCTCTTATTATTATACACTGTAACTAGCTAATTAGGAAATGCACTACCGGTACTGTAGGTTTTCTCAATATTGTAAGAGTGAACAATTAATGTTATAAAATATAATTTGGCGTCAACTGATGTACTATATAACCCAACTGACTGAATAAAATAATCCATATCGATGCATATATCATCAAAACTGTGTTATAAATCCAAGACTACAAGAAAGTTTAATTTTAAATATGTGTTCCGGGTCCCTATATAATAGTTTAGGGAATGTACCTATGAAAAAAATTAAATACAATACCATACACGAAAAGAGAAATTCATTTAAATATTTTGGTGACAATAAGAAAGTAAAAAAGTGTGATATGTCGGCGGTCACAATGCTAATTCAATGCTATGGGCCGCTCCAGTACCGTTTTCGTTTACCAGCCGAGCGCGATCCAGTTAGGGTATATAGGTACATCGATGCCTTATACTAACTGTTCAGCTAATTCAGGGCTTCATGATGACTATTGGAGACGGCCGTTTGCGATGTATTTTTATTGCAAATTAATTGTTGAACTTGTGTTTTGGTTTTCTTGTTTGTTTGCTGTGCGTGCGTAGTGAGTTGTTCAAAATGGGTTATGATCTCCGTTCCAGTGATGTGACTAACTCCATGACTTTTATGTGATTCTTTAAGTAATCTATATACTAATTTGAAACTGTTTTTCTTTGTCATAGCTAAATTGATAGAACGGCTGGGTGTAGAAACTCGGTAGAGGTGTCTAAAGAAAGGTCTTGGTCTGTAGATGAGCCATCAAAAGAGAAACGTAGTAAATTCCCTTGGGGCTCTGCCCCAGTGGCCTTTGAATTCCCATCCCATGTTATTCTTATGGAAGGAAAAACTGGGTTTTTGTCCCAGCTAATTTGAGAGAACGGCTCGGCGTAGAAACTTGGTAGGGGTCTCTAAAGAAAGGTCTTGGTATATAGATGAGCCATCAAAAGAGGAACGAGGTAAATTCCCTTGGGGCTCTGCCCCAGAAGCCTTTAAAGTTGCCTCTTCAAATTTGTTTACCATATGCATAATTCTACACTACTTTTTAATGAAACAGCTATTTAAATTGTGAGTTATTGAATTTTTCAAAATGAAGTACAGTATTTGCAATGGGTTTTTCTGATTTTAAAATTGATTTTATTCTGCATCGTGTCATGTTTTGCAATATAATGTTCTAGTGGAAAATCGTAATATCACAGTAACTCTTAAAATTATTTCTTAAGGAGTTAACTTATATCTATTGTATGGCTTGGTTTCTGCCTTTTTTTGCCACTTCTTGGAGATTGCACGATGCGCTGGAATAAACACGATGGCTTTAAATAAAACCCCTCAAAACACATTTTTGATAATGAGCTCAAATGAGCCAGAAAAGACGTTGGAAGTTAAGCGGAACGCTTTTGTCCGTAGCTCCAAGGTTCAGCGGTCGCCACCACCGAAAAACGTGAGGACATCTCCCCCACCTGCCACCTTCAAATGCACTAAGGAGTTCCCCCATTTAGGAGCTCCTTCGGCAAGTGGAGCTGGGAACGGTGCGGAAAACGTCGGAGATGCAGGTGTCGAGCTGGCGTTGCCAGCAACTCCCCTGGCGATCAGTTCTGCTGAAGGGATGCCGGAGGAGCCATTCACAGCACCGTTGAGGTCGGAAGGCTCTGAGATGGTGCTTCTGCGTCAGG